TGAAAGCTCGGTGGTCTGCGAAGCTGCGATTCGCTTCACCACATCACGAAGTGCACGAGAGGCGAGGACAAGATACTGGGGGCGATCGGTGCCAGCATCACGGCGAGGGCGAAGATGGACGACGCTCTGGCCGACATCGCTCGCCGGAAGGAACCTAAACGCCGGATCCAAGCGTCGATACCCACCGTAGATCGAGAAGAGGAATTATGGGTGGTCCGTTTTGATGGATCCGCCCGAGGGAAGCGTGGCGGGGGCGCGGTTGCGATCGTGTGGAGTTTGCCCGGATGGGAGGTGGTCAAAGCCAGATCGGGCTACCTCGAGAGCCTCACCGTGAACGAAGCAGAATATAACGGCCTGATCCTGGGGCTCGACATGCTAGAGGACCTAGATCGCAAACGCCTAGTGATCTGCGGTGATTCCAACTTGGTGATCCGACAAGTACGGGGCGGGATCGATTGTAAAGCACCCGGGCTGACGTTAATGAAGCGGAAGGTCCTCGTCGCCTGAGAAAATGGAGCAATCACTAACTCGTCATATGAAGAGAGACTGTAATGGGAGTACCGACAGTCTAGCGAGTGCCGCGTTGCAACGGCAAGGCAGGATCGAGGTCCAGGGAGGGCCCGAATATCAAGGTCTGGTCACCTTGAACCGGTTGGACCAAATTCTAATTCCCAGGACCGAGAACCCAGTGGTGCGAGTTGCTGCGGTCACCACCCGAGCTTCCTGAGTAAGATCACCTGCGGGTGCCATGCAAGAGGATCTGATCCGGGAGATACAGGTCGATCGGATCAGGCAGGCTCAGGAGGAGAAAGTCTGGATCGCAGTCATGAAGAATTATCTGAGTGGCACGATCGCAGACCTCACGCAAGCAGAAGCAAGATCGTATACGGCAACCGACTATGAGGTCGACTAACATGATCTACTCTTCTACTGCCCTCCCACGCCGAGATCGGGGGATGATCGCGATCGGTTGCTGAGATTGGTCGTTCCCGGAACGCTACAATCGGACGTCTTACATCACTATCACACTACGTTGGAAGGAGGACATCAGGGAGTGGGGCGTACCTACCAGCGAATCAGGGATCACTTCCACTGGAGAGGGCTATATCGGAGCGTTCAGCGATATATGGGGAAATGCGTGGATTGTGAAACGGGAAAAGGACATCCGGTGATCCGGGGTGAATCTCCAGGGAACTTGCAGGCGACATACCCGTTCCAGAGCATCGCGATGGATCACATACCTTTGCTACCCAGATCACACAAATGGAATACGGAGTTATTGATCTGGGTTGACCTGTTCACAGGATACATGATCGCGAAAGCTAGCTCGTCCCTGTCGGCCCAGACGATCGCGGAATCGTACGAAGGGTGCGTATTCCGGCGATTCGGTGCCAGCGAGATGATCCGGCATGACCGAGAACTCGGGTTCATGTTACGACTTCTTCCGGGCGTTTAACAAGATCCTGGGGCAACGGCAGCGCCACAAGCCAACGGGACCGCCGAAAGAATGGTGCAGACTGCGACCAGGGCACTCAAGATGTACGTTCGCAATCTAGATCAGAAGGATTGGGATGAGTATGCCCAGCGACTTACCTTCGCGATCAAAACGGCCCACGATCGGATCCAAGTAGATACCCATCACTATTTGGTGCATGGGTGGGATCCGAGATCGATGTTGGAGGCTGCATTGCCAGTCGGATGCACTAGATGGAGCGATCGAGACGCACGGCGGTGGCGTTATCGGGTCTAGCGATATTACCAGCAGTCCCGGGAGCAAGTCAACGCCAGATTGAAGGAATCCATTGCAGATCGGGCCAGCCGCCACAACGAGGATGTCGGATCGCACCAGATCGAGGCTTGATCTCGCGTCTGGTTATACCTAGACCGGGTGAAGGAAGGATACGCGCGGAAATTGGCTCATCTGTGGCATGGGCCATTCCGAGTTACGGAAAAGATCAACGAATTCAGCATCAAGCTCGAGATCGCAGGCACAGGGTACCAGATCTTCCCCGTAGTTCACGTGTCGAAGCTGAAATTGGTCAAGGACTTTCCGGATCGGACGTGAGTGGAGCTCACGGTGGACGAATCGGATCGCCTCGACTTCGATGAGATCCTGCTTCAGGAGGATAGCTCGGTTCCACATCTCGGAGCCGACGAATAAGAAGTCGAACGGATCTCGGATGTGCGGAGTGGGAAGGAAACGCGATTCGGTCGGATCTACCGAAAATTCCAGGTGTATTGGGTTGGATATGACGATCCGACCTGGGTCGACGAAGCCGATCTCTACTGCGAGGCAATACGGGACGCCTTCCTGCGAGAACGGGCTAATCGTAACCGCTTCAATGTGATACAATCACATGAGGAGATGTGTGGAGGACGGGGTGAGATTGTCTGATCGTCTTGACCCCGAGGAAGTGTAAGTCCGATGAGACTGAGATCAGAAGTTCATGTTGCATATGTGCATAGGAAATGTCGACCTTCGCAGAGGATCGCGGAAGGCGTGGTGAGTCTGGAGAAAGATCACATAGGAGGAGCGACGAAAAGAGCAAACAAGCAGAAGATGTGGTTGAAATTAGAAATTATGGGACCGACAAGAAGGAATCGCGATCGCAGGATGGCGAGTGGAGAGCACGGAAGTTCTTCCCGAAGTGAAATCAGATCCACGATCAAGTGGTCGCTGGAGGGTTGAATTTGTTCGCGAGACGAGGGATCTGTAGCGACTGATGAATGGAACCTGGATCGTGGTAATGGTTCCGCTGGGGATCCGCCTGATCGCACTCGAATAGTGCCGTGATCAGGTTTGTCGGTTCGGGGATATTCGCGGTCGGCCGCGTGAGATTGGCCGCCCTGGAGACAGATCCGGGATACCAGCGTACTTGATCCTGGGGCATCGACAGGTGGAGGAAATAAGGACCCAGCAGGAGGTCGATATAGGTCCTCATCATCGGGAGGCACGCTCCCAAAAGATCCCGCCAGCGATCTCCAACGCGGATGCGCCGCTGACGCCGATACTGGTGGTAGACGAGGAGATCAGGGTCCGCGGCAAATGTCGCTTTCGTGATCTCGAAGTAATGGGTCGACTCCCAAAACACTATCAGGTGATCTTCCTCCAGGGCGTAATACGACATGGCGATCCGTCATAGAGGGGTGCTAGCCCGCCGGTGCAAGTTGTGATCGAAAGTCAGCGGAGTGGGGCGATTCTGTCGAAGTACGAGCCATGGAGACGTAGCCATCAAGACCAACACGTTGGCACCAGTGATCAGCTCGGAACGGTAACCAGTCACGGGTATGGGTGCCCACACAAAGGGCGTTCGAGCAGGGAACAGGAAGCCGGGCGGGATCGCCAACCTCTTGGTCAAAGTGGACTTAATCATGGCGATGATCGGTATGGATCCCACGATTGCCGGATCCCACGGGGTGATCTCGGCTGCCGTGAATATCTTGACCGTGGAATATTGAGGAACACTCGCCTCGGCAGGAAATAACGGTGGATTCAGTTGGAGACGTGAGCCACCACCGGCCGCGCCGACGCTCCGGGACCAAACTGGATGACGATCTATCGGCGCTGAATGCTGTAGAAAGCCGCGAGTTGGCGACCGTCAGCTCGCTGCAACCTGTGGCCCCGCCTGATCCCTCCGGGGACGCGGGTACAAGACCGTCGGGGACGCCCGACGCCCTGGCAGTGGGGTCAAGCGCTGCCCGCGGTGTTGTCTGCTTCCCTCGGGAACGCGGACACCAACCAGATGGGTGCGCTCACCAGGGACACCCCGTAGCTGCCACATACTCGGGAGTCGAGGAATCCACCCTAACGACCCGGAGGCCCCCAGAGCCAAGCGTGACGCAGACACCTTCGTTGAGACTCCATCCGACTGTCGCCGCTTCCCTGGGAACACTTCAGGACTCCACTCGTGAGACCACATTGGTCGCCCAGCCTCGGCATTCCGCGGTCAAAGTGCGCCAGTATGTGGCCGCGCAAGTGCACCGCTGGATGAGGCGGGAGCCCGGGGACGTGCCACCCCCGGACCCGTAGTACCCAGACCTGCATCACTAGCCGATGAGGAATCGGCTCCTAGAAAAGAAGGAGACCGTCCGGCACCTCCGGGAATTCACATCCGCTAACGGTCAGGGGCGAATTTGGACCGCCAACTTCCGGAGCGAATGCCTCTGCCTGCCCGTGGTTACCGACCC